TCATGTAGTTCCGCCATGTTATGTCTTCGCCTACAAGTACACATGTAACCACACCCTCAGTCACACCCACTTACTGTTCCGGTGGAGTGGAAAAAGGTGTTAGTGATAGTCTCTTGTTATCATCATCATCAATAGTGACTATAATAAAAATAATATGTAATGATGCCAACTGTAAAAGTTTGAGCTGATTCTAACTTCAATTTTTTAGTTATGGCTAATCTTTTAAAATGCCAAAATTCTAAAAAATTTCTGTACTATAGCCCATGGATTTTTCCAAAAATAGCTAAAAAATCACTCCCAATTTTTATTACATTTTCTGATACATATTGATGTCCTTATACTGTGTAGAAAGTTTGAGCTAATTCTGACTTCCATTTTTCAAGTTATGGCCATTTTAAGAAAACGCCAAAATTTGGAAAAAATCCCTGTACTATAGCCCATGGTTTTTTCTAAAAAATGGCTCCGAAATTACCTCCAACTTTTATTACATTTTCTAATACATATTGATGTATTTATGTTGAGTAGAAAGTTTGAGCTGATTCCGACTTAAATTTTTCAAGTTACGGCCATTTTTAAAAATTGGCCATTTTCTGAAAAAATCCCTGTACTATTAGTAACGCAGTAGCGTTATTAGTAACGCAGTAGCGTTACTAAGTAGGATTCACCCCCAAACAAAATGGCTGCCACGACTTTTGCAGCCTTGCTATACCGGGAAAGCGAGCTCTTATGCTTACCAGACTTCTTAGAGGACCTTATCTTGACCAGAGGACTCCATTGGTACCACTAGCGTGGCTCTAGACCTTTTCTGGGAGAAAAATCAAAAATCTGCAAACCGGCCGTTTTGTTCAGCCACCTTTTTTCATCTTCATCATCATCAGGAAAGTCCTGTCAATCCAGTTGTCGGTCGATATATCGATCTTGCCTGGTGATAGAAGGCTAATTCTTACACCATTCTACTCCAACAGGGTATGCGCAGGTCCTTGTTCCCTAGAATCATTCTCCAAGAAAGGAAAAAGTGATACTGTGACTGTTGGATCGCACCAGCTTACCTCATGCCGCCATTTTGTTAATTAAATAAAGAAGCAGATGTGCTCCAAAAATTTGGGCGTGGTCGCGCATGCTCAGATGGATAGATCTCAAAACTGGGAACAGCAAGTAATCTTTTACGTAGCTAGCTATGCTTGGAATCAAATTGCAATACTTAGTGGAGGTTTCCAGCTAAGAGAAGGTATTAATCTTGCATATATCAAGTGTGTAATGAATTATTTTATTTCAAAAACACAAAACAATTAATATTTATAATACTAGTGATAATATATTAATATGAACTTGACAACAGGAAGAACCTGCAGGAATAGCTACAGGATTACTGGGAAGATAGAGCTTCTTGAACAATGATTCACATCAAGACTATAGTATTTATTTCACTTGTCATCAGATTAGTAGATATTGCTCCACCATATCTATTCAATTCAATCAGTGCTGTCCCTCATAAATGCTGTAAAATCATAACAATGACAACAATAATAAAGAAACTTATTGTTTGTGTAAAATCAAAAAGTATCACAATTGTAACTGAAAAAATACAAATATTATAAAAAAATTAACACAAACAAGAACATAAAAAATTTAAAAAAACAAGATTGAGTAGGATTCCGAACGACCGACAAAAATACGAAATGAAAATCCTACTCTCGTGACGCAAATTCTACTTTACATTGTAAGGTGATCCATAACTTTTAAATAACAACATTAAAAGTACAA